GAGGACAGGGCATGTAATCACAGATAACACTTTAACAGGAATCAAATTCTGATTCTTTTTCTTCAATAATTACCTTATTTGCATGTAATTTTCCAGAAGATGGATATTAATTTAATTTGGGAATTGTATGTCCAAAAGGCAAATTCAAATCACAAGTAAAACACACAAGCACCCGTATAGGCCAAACAAAACCAGTGGAAATTATCATTGTGAAAGACTTACTGGGAATTGAAGAAACAATAATGATCTATGAGAGCTTCTTAGCTGAGAGGTTCTGGATCAGGGTCTCTCGTGAAGTTGCAGTAAAGATGTCTGCTGGGGCCACAGTCTTCGAAGATTTGTCTGGGGCTAGAGAATCTTCTTCCAAAATAGCTGTTGGCAGGAGTCCTTTGTTCCACACCATGTGGGCCTCTTCATGAGGATGTTTGTGCCTCATGACATTGCAGCTGGCATCCCCCAAAGCAAGCAATCCAAGAGAGAGCAAGTAGGAAACCACAGTATCTTTTATGAATTAGCTTTGGAAGTCTAATACTTTCAATTTCACCACATTTTACTCATTAGAGTCAAATACAGCCCACATTCAAGGGGGAAGGAATTAGTACTCACCTTTAGAAATGAGATGTATGAAAGAATTTGTGGACGTATTTTAAAGCTATGGCACTACCCTTGAGGCTGGGTGAATACCACATCAGTGATTCCTTCAGCAGCCTCAGCAGAGAATTGGCTGTTTGCCTGCCTATACTACCTTGTGGGATAGAGACTTTAATGATATGTTGGTTAATGTTTATCAACTGCCTTTCTAGAAAACAAAATGTATAGATACATATGTATGTATATAAGTTGTACTGGTATAAAAGATGTGTAGCACACAATTTACAAATAATGAAATATACAATACTCTTTATTATAAATTCCATACAACAAATTGGTTCTCACAAAATGTTTTAGTTGATTTTTGCCAAGTGCTTATATGTGTAACATTTTCTGCATCACTTTCTTACATCTAGACAATCAACAAAACAATAAATCAAGCCCAGCTCTGTAGCACTTGCCATTTCCAAATGCTCCCACCATAGCCAATTTCAAGTTACTGACATGATGTCACTGAATGCAGAGTTGGAAAGAAATTTGCAGTAACACACCATTATACAGTATTTTCACTATACATATACAATAGATGTAAATAACCTGAGTGGCATAAGTAATAATAAAATAAAGTAGAATAATTAGGAAATCAGTTTTGAGTACTTTTTTGCCTTTTTAATAGAATTAATATTATTTTAAGTTTAGATAATTTCATTTTTAATAGAAGCTGTTTTTAACAACTAGCTTGCAAAATTCTTGAAAAATTAACAGTCACGTTTCATAAGCTGCTAACAGCTGACATCAGCACACCATTGACTAGAAACACCTTTATCTTCCACCACATGGGGAATTCCCAATATTTCAACAATCAGAATTGAACCCATGAACCAACCAACAAAAACAACATCTTACGTAAGAAGCATGAGTAATTTGAAAGAGGAATGTCAGTAGAACAAACAACTGGAAAATACAACTGATAAAACAGAAAGATGAAAACCTGAATTGCTTTTTTAAGGCATCGTTAAAGAAATTTAAGTAAAGCAGAAAATAATTAAATAATTTAGTAGATAAATAGAAGGATAAGTTGGTCACCACTGAGACACTAATCAATGGTCTGGAATATAGAAATAAAAAGAGAAGAGAAGTAGCTAGTAGTTTTGCATGGCACATCGTAATCATAGATTATGCTATCATGACAAAGAACAAAACAATATTTACAGTTACTCTAAATTGTCATGTTAATCATTGTTTATGCAAATATTTTATATTCCTTCTAACTTCAAAATATGCATATATTTTAAATCAATTAAATGTTAATATGCTAACCCAACAGGTAGGTTTTATGATTACTGTAGCTTGAAAGCCATAATAAATTTAAAAACTAAAGTTCTCTTTTACATATTGTGGTGTATGTAGAATTCATTCCTGTACAACCCAATTATGTGGTACCATATTTAAGGATGTATTAAAGGCACATACTGAATAACGTTTTAAGATTTGTATTGAAATGCTCATCTTACTTGGCAATATTAGTGACATATTAGCAAAACTTAACATTTATAAAATTTTGGAAAACACAGTTTAGAATTACTCTCTTAAATATTGGCAAATGAATTAATGGCATTAATCATGTGCAAGTTTGTTTCTAAATAAAACCAAAATTTACTCTGATATGCTACTACAGATCCAGCAGAGGGAGCTCAAACATTTTTGTTTTGTTTTTTAACTAAAGAAACTTATTTTCTCTTTTAAAAGCTGCTGGATTCTGAAAAATGATATAGTTATTATTTAAATAATATAAATGTATTACTAAAAAGAATATCCTATTTCTTGTTAAAATAATAAATATATTCCCAAACAAAAAGAGATATCATTATCATTTATTTTACTTAGAAATGGCAGGCAATTAAAATTAATTCTGTCCATTTATTTTTCCAATAGCCTTTACTTAAAAAAATTTTTTTTCTTACCAAGATTTATGGTTCTGGTAAGGTAGACTGAACTAAAATGAAAACCTTCCAGTTGCAAATATAGAACATGATAGGTAAAATATGACACATTTTATTTTTTATTTTTTTTCTCTATTTTTCTTGACCAATATGGATAGAGGCTTATCGATTGTATTTTTTTTTAATTTCACAATTTTTATTTAATCTTTTCTAAATATGGCGCTGGATAAATCCAGAACAAAATAACAAGATTTCCCAGCAAAGGAGCCAGGTTGGTATTAGCACTATCCCCTTTTGGCTACCTCCCCAACCTTTTGGGTTTTATTCTTTGAAATATGACACATTTTAAATGTAATTCTTTCATATGTAATAAAACATAAACATGTTTCCCTCAGCTCAATGCTCAGCCCCTCCACATTCATGGGTAAACATTCATTATTAATTTCTTATGTATCCTTCCAGAATTTCTTTATGAATATACAGATATATATGTGTCTTATTCTAATCTATTTTTTTTCTTATGCAAAAAGCACCATATCATATACCCTATTCTGTATCTTGCTTTTATTACTAATATATCTTGGAAATCTTTCCATAAATCTATTGTAGATTACTCCTTTTTTTCTTCGACATTTGTATAGTAGATAGCAAGTGCCTTTTAGGAATATATCACAATTTATTTACCAGTCCCCAGTTGATAAACTTTTGAGTTGTTTTCAGTCTTTTTCTATTGCAAATAATGCTTCAATAATAATCTTGTATACATGTGCCATGTTATACATGTGAAAATTATGTCTGAAGGATAAAGTCCCAAAAGTGGGATTGCTAGGTAAAAGGACATGTGAGTGTGTAATGTTGATGGATATTGACATCATGAAGGTTATACCAATTTATATTCCCTCAGGAGCAATGGAGCCATTTTGTTATAGTATTGCCAACTGAGTGTTACCAAACTTTTGAATTTTGCCAATCTAATAGATGAAAAATGTATCTAGTTGCAGATGTATTATATATTTCTCTTATTATGAGTGAGCTATCACTGTCGGAGTTATTTGTATTTCCTTTCCATGAGCTTACTGTTCATAATCCTTTGCTCGTTTTCTTTTGAGTTGTCAGTCCTTTTCTTATTAATTTTGTAGGCTGTCTCTCTTAATTAGGGAAATTAACCCTTTGTGATGTGTGTCACCACTTAGTTGTCTTTGGACTTATGGTATTTATTTGGCATGCGGAAAGATACAAACTTCCAGTTATAAAGTAAGTCAGTCATGCGGATGTAATGTATAGATGTAATACTGTATTACATGTTTGGGAGTTGCTAAGAAAGTGCATGGTAAAAGTTCTCATCACAAGAAAAAAACTTCTTTAACTATGTATGGTGGTGGATGTCAGCTAGACTAATTGTGGTGATAATTTCACAATACAAAGATTGAATCACCTGAAACTAATATAATGTATGTCAATTTCGTCAATTAAAAAAAAAAGATCAGTTGACTATATTTATGTGGGTCTATTTCTGGGCTCTCTGTTCTGTTCCACTGATCTATTTGTCTAGTCTTTTACCAATACCACACTGTCTTTTTTTTTTTTTTTTTTACCATTTAGTCTTTTTTTTTTTTTTTTTTTTTTTTTTTGTCGCACTGGTGGCATGCAAGATCTTAGTTCCCCGACCAAGGACTGAACCCCCAGAGTCTTAACCACTGGACCACCAGGGAAGTCCCTACTCATTTATCTTTTATTTATTTATTTTTTTGGCCACGAGGCATGTGGGATCTTAGTTCCCTGACCAGGGATCGAACCCGAGCCCCCTCTGCCGTGGAAGCACAGAGTCCTAACCACTGGAACGCCAGGGAAGTCCCAATACCACACTGTCTTAATTACTGTAATTTTATAGTAAGTCTCGAAGCATATCAGGTAGTGTCAGTTCTCCAACTTTGTTCATTTTTTTCAGTGTTGAATTGGTTATTTTGGGGCTTAGTCTATATAAACGTTAGAATCACAAAATAACTTGCTGGGATTTTGATTGGGATTGCACTGAATCTATAGATCAAAGTGGGAAGAAATGGCATTTTGATGATGTTGAGTCTTCCTACTCATGAATATTGAATACCTCTCTATTCATGTTGTTCTTCTTTATGTCTTTCCTCAGAGTTTGGAGTTTTCCTTATATAGCTCTTGTACATATTTCGTTAGATTTATACATAAGTATTTCATTAAGGGGGATGCTAATGTAAATGATACTGTGTTTTTAATTTCAAATTCCACTTGTTCATTGCCAGTATATAGGCAATTGACTTTTGTATATTAACCTTGTATCCTGCAACCTTGATATAATAACTTATTAATTGCAGGTTATTTTTTTGTTGTTGATTTGTTTGGGTTTTCTACATGGACAATCATGTCATCTGCAAGCAACAACAGTTTCATTTCTTCCTTTCCAATCTGTATAACTTTTATTTCCTTTTCTTGTCTTACTACATTAGCTAGGATTTCCAGTATGATGTTGAAAAGCAGTGGTGAGGAGGGATATCCTTGCCTGGTATCTGATGTTATCAGGAAAGCTTTAAGTTTCTCATCATATTAGCTGTAGGTTCTTTATCAAGTTGAAGAATTTTCTCTCTATTCCTACTTTTCTAATAGTGGTGTTTGCTCGTTTGTTTTTTAATATGTAGTTAACATAGCTGGACTCACACTCCAAAATCTGTTTTCCCCGTAGAGGGCAGCAGCTAAATTTCTGTTCAAATCTTTTGGCCTTATCTGGGCCCCTTTAATCTGTCATGTGCAAGTAGAGTTCAGGTTTCAACTATGATCTGAGCAGAGAATTTGGAACTCTCCCTTTCTGGATCTCTCTTTTAAGAGATTTTTTCTCTTTCTTTCCAGCTGCAGTGATCACCCTAAACTTGGTGCTTTGTTTCTTGTTTCTTTAAGCCAGTATGACTGTGGGTTTCCATCCAAGTTTTAGCTCCTTTACTGGAGACTGCCTGTTAAAAATCACCTGATAAAATAACCTGTTACTATCTCCTTCAAGTTCTGACTTCTCTCCAGCTTCTACCTGACTTTTGTCATTCTCCAGCTTATTTAGGTCGTTGTTTTTTTTAAGCAGTTTTTAAAATCATGATGTATATTTGAATGATAACGTTGATGCTAGTGCAGAGAATTGGGCTTAGCAAACAAAAGATTGGATGCAGGAAGCCCCAAGTAACAGACTGATGATTTCCTGAAATGGGACAATAATCATAAGAATGGAGAAGGCCAAAAAAATGAGAACATCTACAAGCTCATATTGGCGAGCTTTGTGACTCTGAGCTACCACATTTGACCCATCTAAAATTTTCTTCGTTGTATAGAAAGGATCAGAAAAGAGGTTGAAGAAGTAGCAGCCATTATTATTAATTGCTTGTCACCTAACATTCATAAATGATGCAAAAGTAAAGAGAATTACCTGTAACTTTAAGCAAAAATACTCTTGTCTTGTTTCTCTTCATTTCACAGAAAATAAATTCAGGCATCTCCTGAAGTACCATTGATGTTCAATTGCAGAGTTGTATTATATCAAGTAGGAATTTTATCAGCTACTGGCAATAAAAGCCTGACTACAGTGGCTTAAATACCTAAGAGTTTATCATTTTACGTGTAAGAAACACAAAAGTGGGCTATCCACACTGGTACGAAGTTCTACAACGACAACGGGAATCCTTTCTTAATACATGGTTTCCATCCTCAAGAGCACAAGATGGCCACTAGAATTGCAACTGTCATATGTTATTAATTCAGGAAGGAATAAGTAGAAGGGCGAGGAGCAGAAAAACTCATCCAAGCTTTCTGTTAATAAGTCTTCTAATAAATCCCAGCCTATGACTTCTGCCTATATCTCTTTGACCAGTTACATGGTCATTCCTACCTATAAAGGAGGCTGGGAAGTACTTTTTTTTAAAGCTAGGACAATTGGTACCCTGAATCAAATTGAGATTATGTTACTAAGGATAAAGAGGAAAGTGGATATTGAATAAGCAACCAGCTGTCTCTGCCACATGTACAAAATGATTTTGTTGGAGCTCTCTCAACCAACTTAAGTCAAAAAACAAAAAAAAAAAGCATTGACCCAGATTAGCAAACTGTTATCTCTGTACAGGCATACCCAATCTAGGTACTCAAATGATCTTTGGGAAATTTTACTTCCTTTTACCTCTCACTTTTGCTTTTATCTGGATTGGAAACAGGCTTAGATGTGCTCTCCCCTCATAATGACAAGATAGCTACTAGAAAGACTAAGCTTACATTTTCTCAGTTAAGCAATCCCAGATGAAGGAGATCACCTGTTTCTTAATAATTTTAGAATGAGTCATAAGAGGGACTCATGGTCCTTGGTATCACTTGCCTATTCCTACAATCATTGTAGACAGGGCGTGTGCTCTCTGATTGGCCAGATCTGCATCAAGGACCCCATCTTCCTGGGTCAGTCCCGACTAAACCATATGAACTGAGTTGGAGGAGGCATGTTTCCCTAACCTAAACTCAATTCCAGCGAAAAGGTGATTGGGTACCATGCAAGCAAATACAGCAGACCTTGTGCAGAGGGCAAAAACTTTGAAGGAAAAAATTAATTTATGCACTTCCAGTCTAGAAATGAAAAGATAAAATAGGCAAAACAATGGTAATCTATAAATCCCTTGCATAATTCCTATTGTCTTCAATAATATTCAATAATACAATGTCTATAGGATGAAAGTTTACCACAAGCCAAGGCTGGTAATATTTTGAGCATTATGAAAAGCTTTTATAATTCTAAAGCAACTATGAAAATACCAAGGAGAAGATTTTCATAAGTATGCTATTTATAGGAATATTTAATTGTGGTAACTCCCTTAATACCTAAATCATGGAGATTCAAAGTGATGTACAATCATAAATTAATCCTCTCAACACTCCATAATGAAAAAGATTATGAGGAGAATAAGGCACAAAGGAATGACGGGTTTTTTCCCAAGTTCACGAATTGAATCAGCAGCCAACCAAAGCTGCTGACTCGCAAAATATATGACTCATTCTGCTCAACATTTCCACACCTTATTTTAGCTTATCACAACTATTGGTCTTTAGGGGCATTTGTTCGTAAGTGATTGGCAGAAAATGAAAATGGCCGTATGTTTGCAGCTTAGCATCATCTGCCCTAGGGGAATAATAAACAAAAGAGGAGAGCACGAATACTCAAATGAAAAAAGCAAATAGGGCACAGTGAAAAATCTATGGACAAAATTTGCCAGTAGCTAAAAATAACTGAGTGGAGTATAAATTGGGGTATCAGAACTCTCAGTATTTGGTATGACAGTGAGTACACTTAGAAAGGTTTTTTATTTTGTTTTCTTTTAACATAATATCATACTTATAGAAAAGTTTCAAAAGTAGTACAGAGAATTCTGGAATACACGCCACCCAGATTCCTCAAATGTTAACTTTTATTGTACTCACAACCTTCTTCATTCCCTCTCTCTCTCTCTCTCTCTCTCTCTCTCTCTCTTGTGTGTGCACGCGTGCATCCAAGCATGCTTGCACATACCCACCCACAACCATACCCCCAACACACAAACCTCTGAATCCTTTAAGAGTAAGTTTCAGATACAATGCTTCTTTCCTGCTATATACTTCAGTGTGTATTTCCTAAAACCAAGAACATCTTATATAGCCACAGTACAATTTTCAAAACTAGGAAATTAATACTGATATAACACTATTATTTACTATACACTCCTTATTCAGATTTCACTAATTGTCCAGTAATGTCAATTATAGCAAAAGAAATTTAAGATCATGCATCACATTCAGTTGTCATATCTTTTTACTTTCCTTCAGCATGGAAGTCCCGAGATGTTCTTTGTATTTTATGAAGCAGATATTTTTGAAGAGTACAGGACAAGGATTTTGTAGAGTGCCCTTCAAATTAAGGTTTGTCTGATGTTTTCTCATGATTAGATTCAAGTTATGCACTTTTGGTAGGAATATCATAGAAATGAGGCTGTGTTCCTCTCAGTGTACCACATTAGGAGGCATATGCTGTTTATTTGTCCCATTATTGTTGAAGTTAACATTGATCATTTGGCTAAGGTGGTATCTTTCATGTTTCTCCACTGTAACATTATTATCTCTTATAATTAATAAATGCTTTATGGAAACATACTTTGAGATTATGTAACTATCTTAATACTCCTCAAAAATTTACACACCAGTGTTAGCATCTATTGATGACTACTGCCTGAATTAATTAGAATGAATATCTTTTCATTAAACCTGTTTTTAAAATGTATACCAGTCATGCCATGCTAAGTGTTAACATAGTCATAGGACTTTCATTATAGGTGAATTCTTATAATCTAGAAAACACTATAATCAATGAGGAGGAGGTGAGATACAATTTCAATATGCCTAATAATGATCTAAGAACCATCAATAACCATGAGTGATCTTATTAGGGGGATGAAAATGTTCTAAAACTGACTCAATAAAGCTACTAATTGCATGACTGAATTATACACCTGAAATGAGCAATTTTATGGTATGTGAAATATATCTCATTAAAGGTAAAAAATATAGGAAGAAATATGAGTTAAGGAAATAATAAAAATGATTTAAATCAGAACACAGAAGCAAAGGCCAGTGAGAGCAACCATTCAGAGTCATGATTTGCATAAATAACAACTTGCACCTAAATCAAAGGTTCTTAACCTTCTTTTATAACATGGACCCCTTTGGCAGTCTGATAAAGCCTATGGATTCCTACTAGTAATAATGTTTTTAAATTCAAATGTAGTCAGCACTTCTTATATAGTTTGCATTTTTTAATTGTAAAATCCATTCCCCCTTTAATCTGATATGTTACTCTGTGTCTAACTAGGCATGAATAAGTGCCGGTGTGTAGCCAAGTAGGACCATTAAAGCTGCCCTGATGTTAAGAACCTAGGTGAGCTTAAGAGCAATTCAAGGGACAACAGTGTTTGAAAAAAATGTAGATTGATTGATTTTCATCTTTGTGGTTATGTGGACATTTGTATTAGTACTAAATAAGTTATGCATGTTAAAAATTTATTGCTGTTATATGTGAGATAGATATACTCATCATGTGGTCCCTAGCAATGGCTGGCTTGTTATGTTTCAATAAATATTTTTTTATTAAATGAAAATAAATGGTTTGAATATATAGGATTACAAAGAAAATCATTGAAAAAATGTTGAAAATTTTTTCAATATTTCAAAATATTGAAAAACTTAATATTATTTTTGTACTATAAAAATATATGAGCTTTAAAAAATACACTAAATAACAATAGATTTAAAATATAGGCAACTCAAATTTAAATTTTATTTTTCCCAACTCTTAGTGTGAAGACTGTTGTTACTTAAAATGAATAAGAATGATAAACTTTCTTTGACAGAGCAATATACATGTCGTATGACATCCAGTTGACTTCCACTTTTTGTTTTTTGGCTTCAAGTGCTGACAATCCAGATTCTTAAAAACATATTATCGTAAATCTAATTAAAGTTTCCATAGCTTGCTTAACAAGGAATGGGTAGATTCTCTCAAGGAATATCAAAAATCTCTAAAGCTATTTGAGTTAAATTTCTATTATGAGGTTATATAGCTTCACCATATGGAGGCCCAGAGTTGCTCTGCATTTGGCCAGCTCCACTGCAAGGGTGTCTGTGGACAGGGAGGCTGAGCGCTAACACTGCAGTACTTTTGAGGGAGTGATGAGCATAAGTGGTATTTTTAGAGATATTCAACAACTTCACTGTGATTTGAAAGTCTCGGTGATTCCTATTGGTTTATAAGGTCACAGAGACTAAGATTTTTGCCAACATTCATACTTGGAGGACTTTCTAAATTTCAGTTAAATATTACTGAAAATAAAGATGTAAATGTTTTTACCCATCAAGTTCAACTACCCACTGAATTCTATCCATGGACAGTTTGGGCATCCAAGGACTCCAGGTTAAGAACTCCTGATATAAACAGATACAGTAAATAGAATTTATAATCCTCACATTTTGACTATTTGGTACAGTTACATAACTCCTAAAGACAGCATAAATATATATATAAAGCCAAGATGTTTTAAGAGAAAAGGAAAATTCCTGGTTTTGTCAAGTCTAAAGACTCAAAAATAGAATCCTAACTCGTAGTTTCTTTCAAGATTCTTCCTCATAAAATGTGATCAAAATACTTAGCTCTGTTAAAAAAAAAAAAAAATCCGGTGATGAGGCATCTCTTTCTGCATTTTATTTCTAGCATTATTCCAGCCTGGGGTTTTTCTGCCTCATCACTTGTGATAGGAAGAAATTGATTTTTGTCTCTTATTTTTATTGCCAGTTTGGGCCTGCCTTTTTATTTTTTTGTTCTCATCTAAATTTAGATGTTGAATTCTTAAACTCATTGCAAGAAGGAGAAGTCCAGTAATTTGACCTTGAGCAGTTAATTCTTTCCCATTACAAAATTAATTTTGTCCCAAAATATGTTATCAAGTCCTTTTGCTCTCTGAAAGAAAAAGATTAGAGGTGAGTTTTCTGCTACCTATATACTAATCAAAAGAAAAATTTCTGGAATTAGGAATTGGGATATAATAAAAGTTAAATTGCTGGAAGTCGGATTTGTGCTTTAATCCGTATTATGCCAAATCGGGCGCTTCTAAGACTGTCTTTGAACCTCGGTTCTCCTTATATGGAAAACGAGTGGTAATTTGTTATGTAATCTCTAAGGTACTTTCTACCTCTAAATTTTCAAAAATTTAAAAATTTAACAAGTCAGTACCGTATCTGCTGGACTATTTTAGTGCCCACCCTGCTTGATCTGGCTGGTCTGTCCATCCCCTAGCATTTATGAGTTTCTCTTGTTAGCAACTCACAGCTGTCCCTAACCCAGGAGAACTGCTCTCTTCCCTTCAGCAGAACGGGAGACTGGAGCAGCCACACCCTGAGGGATATAGCCCCCATCAAATAATTGACTGACAAGAGACACAAAAGCTGGCTGCCTTCCCGCAAGATGAGAAAAGAATTTCCCATGGGACTGGACTGAAGCTAGCATCCCAGTGAGATTACATCCCTGCTAAGCTTTTATCCCCTGTACTAACCTGCCTCTCTCACCCCCATTCTCCTGAGATCATGCTCTCAACTAATCATTTCAACGAGAATCTCCATCTCAGGCTTTGCTTCTAGGGAACTTGACATAAGATAGCATCTTATAGTAGGCATTCAGCAAATCTCTGTGGACTGACTGAATTAATGGAATTAATCTGTTTAATATTAATCATAAAAGTTATAGACCAAGCCTAAGAAAGCTTCATATAGTTTTTAGCAATAACTATGTGTTGAAAATCTTTCCTAGCAAGTACTATGAACATGTCTGTCTGTGAATTTGCCTCTGCCCCTTTCTGATAAAATTAATTCATTTCCAGAAGGAGCTTCCCCCAAATACTGATTCAATGTTCAGCAGTATGAGCTATCCTTAACCCTAACCACTGGCCCAAGTGATCAAAGTAATGAACTCAATATTAGTGAGGAAAGGAAAGCTGACAGCTCATATTCCCAGAGTTCAGTGCCTTTGATTATTCATTTCTAATCCAAGGGGGTACATTATCAACTTATTAGCAATACAGTATTAAGAATGTATGAGAAGACAATGCAGTAAGTGCCTAAATGCAAGGCTAACTTTCAATTATTCAGTGATAGAGTTGAGTAATGTAGATGTGTGGGATGGGAATGGATTATACAGCTCGTACCAAACCACAGAGAACAGACAACACTCTCATTTATCAACATATCTTCTTTTAACTAATAGCACAGTTGTTGTTGTTGTTGTTGTTTTTTCAGTGCAAAAAGCAGTGTGTAAGTTTCGAAACTTTTTACTGGAAAGAAATTTCCTGTAATTACTCCTCGGAACAATCACAAATACAAGAGTAGCTCCTGTTTTGTAAGAAGAGTAAAATCCCAGATACAACTGTTTGGATTCTAGCTCCATTGGTGCATGGACCCTGTCTCTACTCAGCTCTAGTTGTCAGTCCCCTGGCCTCAGATTGTTATCTTTCAGTGGGTATTCAGTGTTAATGAGCATCTGTTTGGAGATCCTAAATACATTCTTAGTTAAATGTAGTATAAAGTTTACTATTTGCGCTTGTACTTCTTGTGAAAGTGCAGTTGAGCAGAAAAAAATGCTCTTCGTTAATAATTTGTCCATGATTAAACTGCATTTACATGTTATTATGGGGCTTTATATATTACAGTGCAAGAAAACAAAAAACACTGTAGGATTTGTTTTATCCATCATGAAGAGAAAACTCAGCGTTCTGTTTACTTTTAGAGGCTATAAGAGAATGTATATATGTATATATATATATGTATATATATATCTATCTTTCTGCTTATTACAGAATATAAGATCAGCCACAGTCTTCAACCCACTTAAGTCTGAATATTCTAAACTTCTTGAGTGAAACAACTGTTTCTTAAAATGTTTGTATTCCCCACGGAGCCTAGCATACTGCAGACATTTTTCAACATGTGGGAAAAAATATTGAATATCCTTGCGTCCATTTGCTAGGGCTGTTGTAACAAAGTAACACGGTCTCAGTGGCTTAAACAACAGAAATTTATTTCTCACAGTTCTGGAGGCTAGGAAGCCCAAGATCAAGTTGTCAGCCAGTTTGGTTTCTTCGGAGGCCCCTCTCCTTGCCTTGCAGATATCCACCTTCCCACTGTGTCCTCACATGGTCTTTCCTCTGTTACTATGTCTATGTCCTAATCTCTTCTTATAAGGACACCAGTCATGTTGGATCAGTGCCCACCCATACGACCTCACTGTACCTTAATGACCTCTTTGAAAGGTACTATCTCCAAATATTCTATGGTACTGGAGGTTAGGACTTCAACATAAGAATTTGGGGGGGACACAATTCAGCCTATAACACTCCTTTATATCGGTCTTATAAATTTATAATTCTAGTTTATATACTAAGAGAAAGCAAAAATAAGTACTTAAATTATTTTAAAATAAGAGTTATGAATTATAGAATCACTCTTTTTCTAGCCATTTGTTTGGAAAATTATGAGTACTAATTAACGTTTAGTAGTTGTCATAAGCTATATTAACATTCCATCTGAGCAGAAGCAACTATTAATGAAGCTGATGAGATAAATTGTTTCCATTCCCCAAACTAGAATATAGAGCTCTAGTTCTACATAAATAGAATATAGAATATAGAACTCATAGAAATAGAACTCACTGATTAAAATAAATATGGGCCTTTTCATTGATACACTTTTTCTAAAGGGAACATTTAACAATGTTTGAAGCAGGCATTTGGAATTGCAGTACGTCATCATGTGTTATGTTTCGTAAACAAGATAATTATATTGCCTTTCACCATACAAACTAAGTTATAAAATTACTTTGAATGTCAGTTAAGTGAGGAAAAACCTGGGGGTGTTTTTCAGCAGGATTACTTTTCTTTGTTCTAACTATAATTAAATCCATTTTATTTATATGGAGGAACTTCTATCTTGTAAAAAATAAAATATTAAAACAAACTGCACTTTGGAATTCTGGCTTTTTTTAACCAAAATAGGTTGGGATCATCAGAAGATAATGTTATAATATCCTGGGAAAATGGAAAGAAGGGAAAGATTTCTTTATGTTTTCAAGTAACTGTTCTTTTCATCTTATGTGCATAAGAGTTATTAAATTTGTGTGCATAGAGTTGTTCATCATATTTGCTTATTATCCTTTTATTGGATGTGGGGTCTGTAGTGATATCCCCTCTTTTATTCCTGAATTAGTATTTTGTGCCACTCTCTCTCTTTTTTGTCAGTCTTGCTAGAGGTTTATCAATTTTACTTTTTTTCCCAAAGAACCAGCTTTTTTTTTCATTGACTTTCTGTATTGTTTTTCTGTTTTCAATTTGATTGATTTCTGATTAATGTTTATTATTTCCTTCATTCTTCTTGCTTTAGTTTTATTTTTTCTCTTCTTTTGCTAGTTCCTAAATTGAAAACTTACATTATTGATCTGAGACTTTTCTTCCTTTCTAATATAAATATTTAATGCCACAAATATCCTAGTAAGCACTGCTTTAGCTTCTGTCCCTCAATTTTAAGAGTAGTTGCATATTAAGATTATTAGCACTTTGTATTATGTATCATCAACATTTCTCCCAATTTGTCAATTATACTTTGTCTTAGTTTATGTTTTCTTTTTCTAATAAATTTATTTATTTATTTTGGGCTGCATTGGGTCTTCATTGCTGCGTGCGGGCTTTCTCTAGTTGCAGCAAACGGGGTGCTCTTTGTTGAGGTGCGTGGACTTCTCATTGCAGTGGCTTCTCTTTCTTGTCGAGCATGGGTTCTAGGTGCATGGGCTTCAGTAGTTGTAGCACACAGGCTCAGTAGTTGTGGCTTGCGGGCTCTAGATCGTAGATTCAGTAGTTGTGGTGCACGGGCTTATTTGCTCCACGGCATGTGGAATCTGCCTGGACCAGAGCTCGAACCCATGTCCCCTGCATTGGCAGGTGGATTCTTAACCACTGCGCCACCAGGGAAGTCCTATGGTTTTCTTGTGCAAAATTTTTTAATTTATTATGTAGTCAAATTTATTATTTTCTTATTGCTTCTGGATTTTGAGTCATGATTAGAAAGTCTTTCATTACATGGAGGTTGAGGAGGAATTCATCTATTTTTCCTTTGGTACTTGTATGATGTTTTTAAATTTACATGTAGATACTTAATCCACTTGGAGTTTATTTTTGTGTATGGTGTGAGATATTAATCTAATTTTATCTTTCTACAAATGGCTACCCAGTTGTCACAGCACCATGTACTAAAAAGTCTATCTTTAACCCAGTGATTTGTGTAGTCACCTTTCTCATGTACTAAATTTCCATAAATATTTGGATCTAATTCTATCTAGTCTATTATATTCCACTGGCCTGTTTGTCTATTCATGTGCCAGTACCACACTATTTTAATTATGGAGGATTTATATTTACTATGTTTTAATACCTGGTAGGGCTAGTTCCCTGGTAGTGTTTCCTTTTTTCAGTGTTTTCCTGGCTACTCTTGCCTGTTTGTTTTTTTATATGAACTTTAGTATCAAGTTGTATAACTCCATAAGAGCTTATTAGTATTTGTATTGATTCTATGTTAAATTTAATCTTGTTAAATTAAGTCCCAAATTTAAGGTCTAAGGATTTTAATATCCTAACTCATTCAATTTATTCTATATCCCTTCTAATTTTATTTTATCATAGATTTGAAGGGTATGCCCTCAACATCAATCATATCATGATCCATGCCATTTATCACAGTGTGATACATTACTGGGCCAAGAATACTCTTCTGTATTGATATACTAGACATGTCCCTCTCAGGTGACATTGACCTGTGAATCTTTTGGGAATGGGTGTTCCACTCTTTTCTAATCCAAGCCATCCATTCAATCCATATTTCCCTAAATGGTTTATAAGTATATCATGATCCATTTGTCATATATTCTACTATGGTTCAAGTCACACTAGATCTAAGCCATTTTTACTATCTGCTCTAAAAACAAACATAAAAGTCCTATCTTTTAGAAAAATGTATGAAGCCAGAGACTTAGAAGCAGTTGGCCTAATTGATTAGTAAATGTAAAAACTCGATTACAGTTCCAGTTTGGGAGAAAAAAATACCCTGAAGCCAAGGAGTCTGTCTTACAGAATACATTTATACACTTTGAGTCAGAGACTTGTATGGTACTCTCTACCCCTAATGTATGGTAGTAGGAATCAAGGGGTAGAAGTAGCAGTGGCTTCTCTTACTACTATGCCTAGCAACCCACTTATAGAATCTTTGCTTCCTGTCCTAGCAGTTTTGAGCTCCACTGGTTTGAAGGTCTTAGTTCTCAGGAGGGAATGCTTCCACCAGAAGACAAAATAATGGTTCTATCGAATTGGAAGATAAGATTACCACCTTGTCATTTGAAGGTGACAGGAAAAAAAGTTACTCTACTGGCTGGTATAACTGATCCCAATTACTAAGGGGAAGTTGTGTTGCTACCACACATAGAGGCAAAG